GCTCAAGAAGTTAGCCGTGTTAGTCTGAAGGCAGGCAGAAGGCAGTCTATAAAGTACAAATCTATCCTAACTAAATCAGAGGTACTAAGCATTCGTAAGCAGTGGCATACCTCACTTACTTCATCAGATGCTATGAAGACTGCAAGAAGAAGAGCTAATAGAAAGCTGTGATAAAATACAAGGGGTACAAAAGGGAAAAGGAGGGGGCAAGAAAGAAACTCTATTAGCTGTGAACTAATGTAATATTTTTAGCAATAATGAAAGAAATGTACACTTATAAATGAAATATTTAGCAATGTTTTACTTGTTCATTTGGTATTTAGAAAGGAACTGGAGTCTATGAAGGAGAAAATGAAAACGAAAAGTGAAGAGATTAAACATAAACTGGATGAAAATGAAGAAAATGTATGGAATAAGTAATACTACACCTTATCATGAGAGAGCTGTTAATTGTAAATGTCAGCGCCAAAAAATATCCATAGGAAACAGGAAAATGCAGGAGACTGGAAAATGGAAAGTTAGAAGGTGTATAGATCATATAAGAAAGAATTCGTATTACTGTTAAACTGTAAATGATTTGGCACCTAGTCACTTAAGAAGCTGTTTCTCTCTCCTTGAATGATAGTGTTGTAAAAATCAGTAGGGGTGTATGAAACGGGCCGTATTCGATTCAGATTTGGCCCAAATTGGAGACAGCGATTTGATTAATTGATTCAGTTCACTGTCCCCGGTTCGATTCAGCCAAATCTGAATCTTAAGATTCGATGCTGATTGAGAGAAACAGCGATTCGGCCATAGACACAGCTTTAAATGTTTTTTCTACATACCTTGAGGTACCAGGCACGGCTCGTGAATGCTGCTATGCTAGGGCAGATGGAGTGCCCCGCAGGAGTGTGGGGGCCCCACCACGTGATTGGCGGTGAATCTGGAAGTGGATCGGAAGTACTTCTGGTCGACTTCCGGGTCCATCGGGAAGAGCACAGGGAGCCCCCATCCCCACACCTTCCTGGCTTGGTGATCGGCTGTGGGGGGACCCCCAGTGTTCCCCCAGACCCAGGAGGCACCAGTCAGCAAGCTGGGGGGGAGGTGGGGAGGAGGTGCGGGGGAGTTCTCCTGCGTGCTCCTCAGCAGACCTGGAAGTGAACCAGAAGTGCTTCTGGTCCACTTCTGGGTCTGCTGCCGACTGTGCTGGGGGGCCCCCCACGCTCTTGTGGGACATTCTATCTGCCCTACCATCTCAGCATTCATGGGCTGCCTGTTACCTTAAGGTATGTAGAAAAAAACATTTAAAGCTGTGTCTATGTCTGAATCACTGAATCTTTCTGATTCAATTCAGGGAGATTAAAGGGTCTCCTGATTAGATTCTGATTCGGAGATTCGGCCACCGAATTGGGCCGAGTCTCTGCCGAATCAAATCAGAGCCTGAAGCTTCAGACAGCCCTAGAAATCAGCTAAGGCCAGCCAACTGAGCTTCCTGGTAGGGGAACTAGTAGGAAGCATTTTCTGTGAGGGGACCACTATCCTAGAGGGGTTTTTTTTGTTTGTTTGTTTTTTTACCTTGATCCACTAGAAACCAGATTTGTTAACTTTCAGGCAAAAATAGAGATTATTTTTTTTTCCTTTGGCTATTTGGAAAAGGGCAGATGAGGAAGTTTGTTTCAGGGAATTTTGTTTCCCTGTATGCTTGTTTTGAGGGTTTTTTATTTCTTTTTTATGTTTTCCAATATGTATATATTTTTGGAGCATGTTGAATAGTCTGTTATGACATTTTACTGTGAAATTAAATTAGGTAAAGATACCCAGAGTAAAAGGTAGTTGCTTGCTTATATTTTACAGATGTAAATGAAGCCCAGAAGAAAGTTAACATAGGTTTTTTGGCATAACTATGGCCCCAGTCCTACACTATTATCATCAATAGGAACTTTGCCGTTAATTCAGATGGCAAGAGAATTTGCCTCTCTGTGGCTGTGTCTACACGTGCACTTAACTGTGGAGTAAGTTAATTAACTGCGGAGTGAAGCATTGCAGTCTACACATGCGTGCTGTTAGGCTGCAGTAAACTAATTAACGCTGCTGTAAGATAATATTGTCAGAGAAAGGACCATATTATGGCAGGGTAATTAACTGCAATTAAATGCACATGTAGATGCTGACCATGGGTATAAACTGCACCCAGTCTGCCCAGCCAGCAGGGGGCCAGATTCCTGCCTGCTGCCTTGCTACACAGCTCTCCACTTTCAGTACCCTTGTGCCACAGCCAACCCCTCCGCCGCGCGACACCGCCACCGCCTGGAGCCTGGGGCTGACCCCCCTCTCATGTCCCTGGCCCTGGCATAAATTGCTTCGTTCCAGCCCAAATTGCTATCTCAATTTGCACGTGTGGATGCTGTACCCGGGCGTAGTTGACTCCGGCTCAAACTGCCCTGGAGTTTATTGCTTTAAATTATTTGCACATGTATATGCACCCTGTGTGACAGACCAAGGATTCAAACATAGAAAAAAGGTGTGTGGGGGGAGAAACCTATAACATCAGTCAGTCAAGGTTTATGTTCCTATTTTAGCCAGATTTAAAAATCAATATATTTTCAGACTAGAAATATTGAAAGTGAAATTTCGAGAAAGGAAAAACAATTGAAGATGCTGGAAAATAAGGTATGACAATAAAATATTTTGTTACGGACTATGGAGAACTTCTGTTCCTTTTTAAAGATATAACCGCAATATCTCGCATCCAGTTTGCAAACAGAAAAGAGGTGATATTAACTCTTTCCCAGTGGCACTGCCCTGCTACTTTTATACTTTCTGGCAATAGATTAAGAAAATCATGATAGGCTTTATTGCTTAAAACCGTTTCAGCAAAGCTCATAAACACATGTTTAAATACTATTTGTTTCAGTGGAATTTGATGCATGGTTTAAGTGAACATAAGCTTAAGCATTTTGTTGACGAGGATTTGCATATATGCTTAAATGTTCTTTTCTGACTTGGGAGCATTCATATTTAGACTGAAATATAATGAGTGTATTCATACATTTAAATTTAACAATATGCTTAAGTATTTTGCTAAATTGAGCCCTATAAAATACATGCAACTGTACCTATGATATCAAATAAATTAACGACGTTCAAACAGAATTAAAAATATTGTAATTATTTTTGTTCAAATTTTATCTTTTAGTTTAATAACTTAAAGAAACAGCTTGAAAATAAAACTAAGTGCAATGAAGAGTTTCAGCAAGAGGTATGTACAATTGTTAGAAGTGGCAGAAACATAAAATTCAGGGCTTGTGTCAATATTGTTGTTTTATTTCTAGTAGAATTGTAAACTGGTGTGAAGTCTTTAAAGGTAGGTTTGAGATTTTTTTCTGTAATTTTCTTAGAAAAGTGGGGCTGGAAGGGACCTCGGGAAGTCATCTAGTACAACCCCCGCTGCTCAGTGCCAAAATATTCTAGTCAAGTGTCTGTCTAACCTGCTCTTGAAAACTTCCAAGGATCGAGATTCCACAACCTCTCTAGGTACCTTGTTGCAATGCTTAGCCACCCTTATAGAAAGTTCTTTCTAATATCCAACCTAAATTTTCCCTGCTGCAGTCAAGATTGTTGATCCTAGACCTTTACCCTATGGCCAGAGAAAATAGTTTTATCTCCATCCTCTTTATGACTACCCTTCATGTGTTTTGAAGACTGTAACCAAATCCGCCACTCACCCTCAGTCTTCTCCAAACCAAAAAAAAAAACAAGTTATTTCAGCCTTTCCTCGTAAGTCATGTTTCCCAGGCCTCCAGTTATTTTGGTCGCTCTCTGCCAGACACTTCCTCTGTCTGCATCTTTCTTGAAGTGAAGGCCCCTAAACTGGATACAGTACTTAAAATGAGGCCTTAGCAGTGCCAAATAGCGAGGACTATTTCTCTAGTTTATCAGGGTCATTCTGAATCCTAACCCAATCCTCCAGAGTGTCTGCAGCTCCATCCAACTTGGTGACATCAGCACGTTTACTAAGTCTGCACTCCGTCTCATCCTCCAAAGCATTAATAAAAATATTAAACAATACTGGACGCAAGACAGATCCCTGTGGAACCCTACTCAGTACCTCTTCCCAAGTAGGTACCAAGCCATTGATAACTACTCAGGGAGCACTATAAGCCAACCTCCAGTATATATACTCACCTTCTGTACTTTTATGAGGGGCAGGGTGAGCAGGGACAGTACCTACCACTAAATTCCCAATTATGGAGTTTTGCTAGGCATACATGTCAGCAGCAGAGAGGGGCAAGTAACAGCTACGTTAACCCCCATGCTGCTGGTCACCCTGCTGCCACCACCGACTCTGGATCCAGCACATGAGAAGCAGGTGAGTTTGACACATCTGTTTTAAATAAACATTTGAGTGATGTCACTTATCAATCAGTACAAGAATTAAAAATCTGAATCCAGAATGTCTGTTCGTGGGCTAGAAGCCCTGGGAATGATGTTTTTCAGAAAATCACAAGGATGCCCTTCTCTTTGTCACGGAAGGATTTACCTCCTTATGGGAAAACATCCTAAAACTTGTTTAATTCTTCGTCCATTCCCACAGGGCCTGTCTACCACCGTATCCGTTTTGGCCCTCCGAAGATGCCTTTGTAGTGTAGCCTGGGACCGTATTCATTTTTTCTTATATGCTCCACAGGACAAAAATGAGAGTGTGGTTCTGTCTTTTGTGCCTCAGGATGCTTATGTAAACCATATGTAGAGGTTTACACGTGGTCCAGAAAGAATAAGAACTGTTTTTAAGGTTCTTGACTGCTCCTGCTGCATGGAAGACACCTCTAGCCTCAAAGGCACTTTTTGAGACCTGGATTGTAAGCGTAAACATTTTTTTAAAAGTAGGATCAGTCTTTTCCCTAATTTTTCTGCAAAGACATTGCACAAGATGCAATCCCCTCCACCCCCCTGCAAAAAAACAAAACAAAACAACAAAACCCCAACCCTTTAAAGTGAGAGCTAAAGATTCTATTGCCTTGGCCCAGTTTGCTTTATGTGTTCTAATCTTAGCTGACAAGGCAACAAAGCAGTAGGTTAATAAAAACATGCAGAGGTGAAAATGCATAAAAGCTTAGTCTTCATTTTGATTTTAACAGAACAAGATGTTGAAAAAGAAAATAGCAGCAGAAAGTAAGCAATCCAGTAAATATGAAGGAAAGGTAGGTATATATTAAAACTTGTTGATAAAAGCAATAGGGAAAGATGTTAAGGGTTTAGAGCTTTTTTCTAAATTCCATTTAAATCAGTAAGATTACCTGCATCCTTAAAGTTTAACCAGTGATTCTCAGCAAGGGTGCCATTCAACATTAGTGCTGTTAAGTGTGCAAACTTCATAAGATAAACCATTTAAGGAGATTGTCTGCCTATTTATTTATCCTTTAATGAACAAGATAATTTTTTTTGTATTGTTAAAAGGTGAATAAGTTACAGTTAGAGCTGGAAAAGATAAATTGTCAATATAAGGAAACAGTTGACAGCTATCAAAAAGAACTTGAAGCAAAAAAAGCCACCAAAGAAAAACTTCTGGAAGAAGTAAGTGTTCCTAAATATTGCTATGATTTTGAATAATTTTTTTTCACTAGATAATTTACTTATTTTATTAGGTTCAGTAGGGCCAAATCCTAAACCCCATTATGTGAGTAGTCCCACTTATATTGATGGAACTGCTTGTGTGTATGAGAACCATTTGTGAGTAAAGCTTTTTATAATTGAGTCTCAGTGGGCGTGTCTACACATCGCCCTATGGTGATGTAGCGGTGTACTACATCACCATTTGGCACGCTATGGTGATGTAGCAATCACATGGGTCTACATGTAATCGCCAGCTATGTCGCCATAGCAGCATGCTGCTCGGCTATACCGCGCTGCTATGGCGATTGCGCCACCTGTATGCTACAGTATAGGCAGTTACTGAGCAGTGTTTTAGTACGTTTGCCAAAGAAGATTCCTGCAATCAGATCTATTAACAGTTCACAACCAAAAGTTCCAGTGTTTTTTGAACTGGGGGCATATACAAGCTCAGATTCCAAACACCTCTCTGCTCCCAAAAGATCTTAGTCTAATACAGGGATGAGCAAGATATGTCCTTCAAAATCATGTCATCCAGTTCATTGGGCTCCCCCTGGGTCCGTAAGTTCTTGGCAGCAGGGCAGCGGTGGCACTATTAATTGAGGGAGCTCCTGGAGCTGCAGGAATTAATGTTGTCACTGCCTGTCCTTCCACCAAACTCAGACCTGGGGGGAGCCCTGCAGACCAGACAGCTCTGCATCATGTGGCTCTGCATGCCACATCAGGACTGAAGACCAGCTCCTGCTGATCTGCGACCTGCAGGACTGATCTAATATATGCCTTCCTTCCGTACCCCACCTCTTTGCATGCCTCAATATATCCAGCACTGGGAAGAAACCAAGACAATATTCAGAATGAGACTTGAGAAAAGCATCAATTCATAGATCCGTAGACATTCGGGCTGGAAGGAACCCTGAAGGATCATAGAGTCCAGCCTCCTGCCCCAGGGGCAGGAAGTCAGCAGGGTTCATAGGATCCCAGCAAGATAAACATCCAAATGTCTCTTGAAGGCATTCAAAGTAGGTGCTTGAACCACCTCTGGCAGCAGTCTGTTCCAAACCTTGGGGGCTCGGACAGTAAAGAAATTCTTCCTTACGTCCAGCCTGAAACGGTCGTGGAGGAGTTTGTGACCGGTTGATCTTGCCATCCCTTGGGGTGCTCTGGTGAACAGACGTTCCCCCAGATCCGGGTGAGCACCACTGGTAGGTGGCCACCAGATCATAACTGAGCCTGTGCTTTTCCAGGCTGAAGAGTCCCATGGCTCTTCAGGTAGGCCGGGCAGTTTTCAGCCTACAGACCAGGTGAACCTGTCCAGTTAACAGTCCTGTCAGATTTGATGTCTCAGAATGAGACCCAGGTTCTGTATCTGGACCCAGTGTTCCTATACCTGCCTGCCTAGGTGTTGGCTGGATGATGGTTACAGAGAACCCAAGCATGAGATCCAGGTAACAAAGCTCAAAGATCATTAGCTCTTGTAGAATAAATTACCATTTTAGGAACCTCCACCTGGATTTTGTATCTAATTTTAGGCATCTAAGTTTGAAAAGTGTTCTGCTTTATTCCACATGAAGCTATAGTTTTAAATGTAAAACCATATAAAAAGACTTAATTGCTCAAGCTCTGTTTTGTTCTAATTGTAAGCAGCAGACTGAAATAAAATAAGGAAAGAAACATTTTAAAGTAATGTGTTTTGAAGTATGTTTCACATTTTCACAAAGAAGCCATGTATCTCTTAATTTCCATTCAGCATATTTAATATTACAAAAAAGGAATTTGCATTCCATCAGTACATTGATAATTATTGGAACAGTTTCATCATTTATTTAGACTGTTTAATTAAATAAATATTTTTCTTATTTGATAAAAGACTAAAATGAACACAGTAACTCCATTGGTAAAAAGCAGCACTTCTGTCACGTTTTCTTTGTGTATAATTTATTATTTGTTCTGACAGTCTAGTGCTTGGGTTTCCATTAGACCAAACATATTTCCTTTCTGTGCTGAAACTAGCAGCTTGTTTCTAAGGCACACAAAATATTCTGTTATGAAGTATGTATATAGAAAAGGGGTTTTGTTAGCATACGACTCTCATTGCTTGCAGTTTAGAAGATAAACTGTGTTATTAATAGGTAGAAAAGCTGAGGTTATTAGCTGATGAAGCGGTGACAATGCAGAAAGAATCTGATATTCGCTGTCAGCACAAGATAGCTGAAATGGTAGCACTTATGGAAAAGCACAAGGTAAAGAGATTTTGTTTTTAATTTTACATTGTGTGACCCCATGCCTGGAGTCAGTAAACACTGCACCAACCTAGAATGTCAGGAACTAGGACGCCTGGCTTTATAATAAAGGGTTTAGATCAATGAAACATGTACGCTGGTGTATTCAGCAGTATGCTAGTGTAAAAAACTGGTGGACGTATGGCATAAAACTAAACTGGAATAACTGCATGGAGTCCAGTGTAGGGTTACCCAGAAAGACTTGGAGGAAAACCCTAACGGTGCAAATTACACTGGTTTATTTTTGTCTTTCCCCAGGATAGTTGTTTGCTAAACACAAACAGCCTAGTCCTCGTTTCCCAGGGCAGTGGTGAGACACTGTAATAGCGTCTGCTGTCCTGGACTGTTATACGTTTGCCTGTGTCTGATCCTGGTATAATTTACATTTGTGCACAACTCCATTGAAAAATCTCACCAATATTCTGTGACCTAGGAAAAGCCAGCTGAAGATATGCTCAGTTTTTAACATTTAACAAGAAGCTCACCCCCAATGACAATAACTTATTTTTCCAAGATCTAACTTCAAAGTAGACAACATAAATTATAACACTAACTGTAATAGCAGCATCTGGCAACTTCACATACTGTTATAGGGAAGATGTAAAGGAGATGTCCCTATTTTGCAGATGTTTTTGGGACTATAAATTTTGGGATGTCACATTTTCTGCAGAACAGAACATGGATATTAGGAGGTAATTTGACTTTTGAGTGTTCAGTGTCTGTTCTAAGAGATGGATGTTGAAAGGATTTTCTGATATTTGCCATCTGATATTTGATTGCAGGTTCTATCTTTTGGTGTTAATGTTGGCCTGCTCTCTTAAGGACCCTATTTCTCAGTGGCCTTGAGCTGTATACTTTAAGATAATTTAATGATGTTTCCTTGGCATTCTTCTTTAGTAGATATTTTCACAAATAGAACTTGCTACAATGTGACCAGCCTTTGCACACAGGTACATTTGATTCCTTAATGTGGGAAGTGACCCTTAGTAAATAGTACTGTACAGCAGATGTGCAAGAGGTGTCTATGGAAGGAAAGATGGGTCTCTCTGAAGCGTGAAAGTAGTTTTATCTTTGTTTTGCAACATCTGAACCGAAAGGAAATCCTAGATAATTTTAAAGCATCATTTTTATTTATTTCATATATTCATATGACCGTCTCTTTCATGCAGCACCAATACGATAAAATGGTTGAAGAAAAAGACACGGAATTAAAATGCTTTAAGACAAAAGAACAGGAACAAACATCAACCAAAAGAACTTTGGTAAGATCTATATTTTAAAAAATGGATAACTGCAGAGAAAAGAAGAGGAGCAGTTGCTACCCTGGCACAGTATCACAAATAATAGCCTTTCTGTTTTTGTGAACAATTGTTTTCTTCTCTGTATTAGGCATATACATTTTGGGGGTGGTACATTTAGGTCAGCCCCCTAACTTCTGTGTAGTGTACTTGCTTATTGTTGTTTTTCATATCAGAGTTATAATACACAGTGTTTCAAATGAAGTTTAAGGTAAATTATTTTCACCTCTGTCTGGTTAGGTGACACCTCTTCTATAGAATAAATTATCTACTTTTTCATGTTTCTGTTAAAATATTATATTAAGAGAAAAAAAAGGCTTGGCTTGAACAGAATTGGACACATCATTCGATACATTTCTTAGTAGTGCTTGATTTCCTAAAAAACAACTAACTTTCAGGCTAGGGCTGCACTACCTTTACTATCGCCCTGTCCCTGAGTAGCCTCACTTTGAGGAAGCTGTAAGAGTAGTTGCCGCTTCAGAAGTGGCTGAGAGTATACTTCTACTTCCTCATCTGCCTGAAACTCAGTAAGTGACCCTTATGACATTTTCCTTTCAACAGGACTTGTTTGCAAGTATTTTTGTAGAAGGAGAATGACCCACTTGACATATTAATAGTGAATATTCATGTGCTTCAGATAGGATACTCTATTAGTTCAGTATATTCAATTTAATTATAGGACTATGAGTGACTGTGTCTGGAGGTACCCAGTACTCTTCTTTAAATATGTGTGTATATGTAACTATTACAATGAAATCATTTATATAGCTAATTTACAAGCTAATTATTGTTAGGAACATGAACTATCCTGTGTGAAAAGTGAAGTAGCATCTCTTAAGGAACAGCTTCAAGTGGAGATTGAAGAAAAGGTACATCTTACTGCATTCCATTCTATATTTCTCAACTTGGCCTTGCAGCTATAGCAGTGAAAAAGATCTAGGTTGATTCTTGGTTTCTTATTCTGTTTGCTTTTAAGTACTGTGTGTTACTCATTACTGGGCCGTGAAGGAGAGGTGCCAAAAGACTCTAGAACAGGGATGGTCAACCCACAGCCCATGGGCCAGAATCCAGCATCCCAAGGGCCAAAAACCTGGCAGCATGAGAGCAATGGCAGTGCCTGAAATAAACTTGTCACTATGTAAATCAAAAACAGGATACTGATTAAAAGTGTGCTATGTAGGTTCAGGCAGACAAGGTTCTTATGTAGGTTCAGTAACAGATCTATGTAAAAAGCTATAAGCAAGAAAAGCATATGCACATTTGTGTTTCTACATTTTAAATGTCTTCTGAGTTTTGACTAAATTTTGGATGGATCTCCATCCAAATATTTATTTATGACTGAATGCTGAACATGCATGCTATTTCATTACTGTGAATAATACACACGAGTAGAACATTTACTATTACATAACTCTTTTTAATAGGAGAAGCTTGCAAAAGTAAAAGAAAATGTGTTTCCTGAAAAAGAAAAAAATCACAAGGTATTTTTTATTTTGATTCCATAAATTAATTTGGAATTTATATTCATAGTCATATTATGCAATACAATTTAAGTTTCACACTAAATTTTTTAAATTTATTAATATTTTTAGAAAACACAAACTTCCCTTTTGGAGACTCCTAAAAGCAGCTTAAATCTTGACTCAGCTCGTTCAAAAAACACTTTAACCCACAATTTCACACCTGCTAATATGAACATTTTGGAAAACAAAGAGCTATCATCTTCCACACCAGCTAAAAGTATTTTGGGCACTCCATCATTAAAGGTTTGTTACTTATGGAACAGTAACCTAGATATTTTTACAGTGTGTGTATTTATTTAATTAATTTACTTTTCACTTTGTTAAAGGGCCAATGCTGCCATAATTATGTCTAGAAGTATTTTAAATTTTTGTTAAGTATAATTTAATTTACATTTTGTTGAGCATAATTTAAATGTAACATTTAAATATTTTATTTTTCCTTAGACATATACTGTGAAGACTCCCCCAAAATATAAGTTGCAAGGAGAAGGCCCAAGCCCACTGTTAGAAGGAGGCCTGAAGAAAAAGAGAAAAGTGGTTTTAGAGCTGGATACACAGTCAGATAGCTCAGAACACAATGACCTCTTGGTAAAGTTTTGAAAACTAAGCAGCATCTAGCGTTATTCTGTGCATTCTTTGTTGTATGGGAAAATATATGTATAGTAGATAGGATATCATATACCATACCCAATAAAAATATAACTGCATGTATTTTATGGGACTATAATGATAATATTTGGAATTGTCACTCTGTATTGGTGGGGGCCATCTTTTTGGCAGGCAGGCAGGCCACAAATTAGCTTTGCGCCCTCCAATGTCCTTCCCTCATTCTGCCTTCTGCTCCCTGCCCTGTGCTCCCAACCCAATCTCCTGCTTTGTTTTCTGCTTCTTGTTCTCTGCCACTGTGCTGCCTGTAACCCTCCCTGCTCTCCTGTGTGCTGCACAGAGGCATCCTGTGTCATTTGTGACGTGTGGCTACCCATGTCTTAAATGTACATAACTAAAAACTCTAGAATATGATCTGAGCAGCATTCTACAGAAACAACATACCTATTCATTACAGTTGTACTAAACTAATTTCCCTGAAGTTTTTGACAGAATTTTGTTTTTATCAACGAGGAGGCTCCATGGTAATATTTTAAACATTTTTATTAGACAATAACAATGACAAAAACCCAGTATATTTTATTATATCAGCGATTACCTTTTTTCCTTAATTTAAGAGCATTGTTGCTGAGGAACAAATGTTCAAAAAACTATATAAAGATTATCCTCAAGCTTCCCGCTTACATGGCATGACACCAAAAAAGGTATGTTTTTAGCTTTACTTCGAATCAGAATAAATTGCTTGACATATTCTAACAAAATTAATTGACTACTTTGCTTTTATTCTTAGGTATCAACCCCATCAACCCTAAAATCTCCTGGGTCTGCACTGAAACTTACAGCTATAAGAAAAATGCGAGAGGCTGGATGGACTGCAGTTTCTAGAGTGGACAGGAAAAAAAAAATGAAAGAAGCTGAAAAACTCTTTGCCTGAAATTTAAAATTGAGCAATGTCCTAGGATTATTCAGTTCATATAAACCTTAAAGTAGAAACCGATTAATCCTACACAATTAATACCTTGCCATTGACTTTCATGTAACTTTGTATGACCACAATTGTCCCCCAAAGACTTTCCACATGGCCAAAACTAGACAAGCCCAGAGGGAATATGGCTTGCTTTGTTTGTTTTGAAAATTAATAAAACCAAAAATAAGAGTTGTTCAGAGACATTTAAATAAACTCGGGTTTTATTTGTTTAATGTTTACTTTCCCTTTTTCAGCAGAATATCCATAAAAGGTTTTGTTTCATGATGTTTGAGATTGTTAAAATGCATCAGTTTTATTCAGCATTTTATTTTAACACAACTCTTACGTTTAATGGTTTTTTATATGTTGCGCGCACACACGCACACACCTTGTTGAACCATTCTTTTAGCGTAGCAGGTTTGTTTGCAGTTGTACGTGTTTCAGCATTTTGAACATTTAAGTGTTGAGCTTTTAACAAATACTGAGTTAGGTCTTACTACTTTTGCTTTCCTGGAGCCTAGCTTTATGCCAGATATGATATGTCAGTTTATTTTTTTCAGACTAATGAAATCTGAAAGCTGTATACTCAATAAACAGTTGATCAGAAGTGTGAGACTTTAGACTAAATGCTTACAAGATGCTATGCGATGAGCACGTGTAGGACCAAAACAGTCTTTAAACATGCTATTCACGCTCTGGTAACATGGAAATGTGGAAAGTATTAGAGAATAATAGCTTATTTAGTTAAAGCTTTGGTTTTTCTTTACTGAATTTGCAGAGTACCATAACGTACGTTGTTTAGTTTTTAATTCATCCTAGGTTCTCAAAAATAATATCTTCAGAGCCCAAAATAAAATTTAGGAAATTTACAGATAATCTCTGTGACACATAAGCATCAAGAACAATAAACATCTTGGGGTGAAACTCTGGCAAGTCAGTGGTAAAACCCCTATTCACTTCATTAACGCCTAGATTTCATTCTTTGTCTAGAAGTTACATTACTCCTGAGGCTGAAAACTTTGGTTACGGTGCATTTCCTATTAATCAGTAAAGCTAAATGTTATCGTTTTAGCGCTTCTAGTTGAAGCAGATAAAGATTTAAACAGAATGGGTTTTAAAAGATGTACAGATTAACTGCTGAAATTGTAAATGGAATGTAGTGGGTTCCCAGTTTCTGTGCGACTGGATGGTGCACAGAAAAAGAGTCCTTGGGGATAGTGCGCCACTACGGCGATCTAGCTGGGAAATCTAAACATGCACCGTGTGCGTGGCGCAGTAATTGCCCATAGTGCTCTGTGCTTTAGTACCACCAAAAGGAAGTTCTAAAGCATGGCGCTGTAGCAATGTCACCATATGGCAACATGTAGACAGACCCAGAATGTTGTGTTTTAGTCTAGTTTACAGCATGTGTTTTGAACAGATATATTAAAAGGCAAAGCACAGAACTACTTAAACTTCTCTAGACTCCAAGGAACAGTGCCTTCCCAGAGATCATTTGCACAGGTCTGTTTAACCTTTCCCAAAAACTTCAGATCATATTTTAGAATGGTGTACATCAGCTGTCACTCAAAAAAATCAATTCCCATCTTTCAGTCAGCTCTGGCATTGTGACTGATACAGGTTTTCAGGAGAAAGGGAACATCAGCAGGCTGGTGGGAGTTCACCCATTATTGACTTCAGCTGAGCCAGGATTTCATTTATGGGTCCAAGTGTCTTGTTGCTTGCTCCTGCATTTCAAGACGGCCAGCTCCCAGTTTTGAGTGCCTCTGCTGTTGACATTTTCAACCAAAGCAATAACCAAACTTGGGTATGTGGAAGCTTTATCCTTAATCAATATCCTAGGTATGGAATTGAATATAATTGCTGATCATTTCATCTATACCCCAGTTAAAGGTGCAATACGTTTCATACTTTTACTTCATTGAGGTTAAGAATTAAAATCCGTGACTATCCTACCCTATTAATTCATGTTTTTGTTGTATCACTAATACCAGGAATCGGAGCGCTTGCCTGCAGAGTTAGTTACGTGCCTTAATTTCCTGTTGCAAGTAAGGCTTCACATGAGAAACCGATGCCATCCTCAAGATAGACGGAGCATCTCTTACATAACAGAATATGTGCAAGTAGCATTATATTGATAGAAATATTGGGCATGAAACTGAGGCCATGATAACACATTACAGTGCTATTTGAGGATTTAAATTATAATCTGAGAATCTGTGCTGTGTATTAGGCATTGTCCCTACATTGAGAGTCTTGTGGTAGTGACGGGAAAGTTTCAAAGATATAGGAAAGGTCTTTTTCATCAAGTGAAAATTCAAGTTTGAACTGCCCAGATCTGGAACCCAAAGGTAAATAATCGGCTTGAACCTCATCATTGTCCAAAGCTGTCATGCTGGGGTTGTCAATTCTTGGTGCATCATACAATCCGCCTGAAATCACCAGTGTGTCATCTGGAGTGGTGTATATGTCAGCTGCAAAATTTCAGAAGTATTATTTAACATTGTTATAGGGAGATTTGCAGTACATCAAAAGACTAAAATCTTTGCTATGCAAAGAGATACTTATACTATGCATGTGTACTTCTATGGATGACATGCATGTATTAAAGTCAAAATTAAAATACAAACAACATTGTGTTCCAGGCACTAATCTAGATGGCATAGAATGCAAATGAAAAACAAACAAATCCATTATTTTATCATCTGTATGTTCTTCAGGTAGTACACATTTTCTGTTTCCAACAAACATATTTTTTATAAAATAACACACGTACAAGGAGTAGTTCCACAGAGCAGTGAAAGTATGCCAAATTCTTATGGGTGAATGCCATTTAGAAAGAGGGCGACAGTAATTGTAAAATTTCCCTGAATGTTTTTGCATGTATTAAAAGAGGACATTTTCTCATTTCCTTTGAAAATCTGACTCAGATATTTAGAGATGTTTACTACTGTTCATTCAACGTAGTTTAATTATAATACATAAGTACAATAACAAGTCCTATACAAGTTACTGATCAAATTATTCCCATTCCAAAAACTTGTCTTTCTAATTGTCCCCTACAGTTTTAATGATGAAAGAAGATGTGATTGCGATTCCTGCCTACAGGGTTACAGCACAGATGTGAATCAGCCTAGCTCCTACACTGCTTTACCGTGGCAGAAGATACAGCCCCTAAATTGTTATGTAGTGTTTGCATATGCTGTAGATTCTTCCACTAAAGTTTGGTGCATTTCTATACTGAAGGAAGTGATTCTGTTACTACACCTAGTTCTCAGTGTGTAGGTTTGAACATGTATGTTTGCATTTTATACAAACCTGTTTCAGAAGAGACGTCATGCAGTGGGTGGTGGGAATATTGCGCTTTTCTTTTCCTGTACTTAAGAAAGCTATACATGATAATGACGAGAACAGCAAATACAAAAATGCTGCTGAAACCAATGCTGAGAATGTCCTCTGAATTCTTCAGATGAAATCCTTCTGCTAAAATAAAATTTAGGAAATTTTCCTTTATTTCATAGCAAAAAAAAAGGTCAGTCTTTCCATTTCATTAAAGCAGCGTGGAAGGTGTTCATGAGCTAACTGTAAGGACAGACCAAGAATCTAATTTCTCCCTTGAAAAAAATGTTTTAAAATGAGGGCCCTAACTATTAAAGCACAGCTCAACAACAACACACCCAAACCACTGTTCAAATAATTAAAATCTTCTACCAGAGTCTGATCATTCTGTTACTACAATTGTTGTATGCTTTTAAGTGGTGTTTCAGTTTGGGTTTCAACTCGCCAGGTTTACAGGTTGAATATACAACATATGGTCAACATGTATAAAACCTGGGTGTGTAAATGTAGACAATTAAATCCATAGTTAGATGATTTTCAGCAGGGTTGAGGGCCAGGTCTGTTGCTTTTATAGGAAACAGGAGTCGAGGCAGGCCAGCCCTGTGGTAGTCAGGTCACTTTGACTCAAGGGTCAAAAACAGATTTACTGTATTTACCTAAATCTGGCGCTGATATTTGAACAATTTTGGCTGACATATTTATCTGCCTTCACTATATTGCCAGAGTAGATCTCCAGTTATTCTTTCTGCCTAGGTCTGCCTTTTCATTTGTAGCCTAATCTACTGGCCTGTTTCTGTCCCTGCTTCCTTCTCTTGTTTTATTTTTTATGTAATTTTAAAACTTTTGCTTTCTTTTTCATATACAGTTTTCTTTGCCTTCCAGGAAGACTCCCCGTCTTGTCCTCACCTCCATCATCTTCTATTCAACAACATGTTATAAGCTGACTGAGGAGTCCAGGGGAATCTATTGCATCTGACCTGAGTGCCAAGGGAGCAGACAAGAGGAATGCGAGTTGATGGGCTGTTCCCAGGACCTGTAGATCTGGTGGGGAAGGTGAGCATCTTTCAGGACACTGTCTAACTCTTGGCATGGTTGCAGGGAGACACTTGCTGTCTTTTTGTGCCTTATCTCCTATACTCTGTCCTTTACTCAAGTCAGGTGCTGCAAGTAGGGAGATGTTGCTTTAAAAAAAAAAAAAAAAAAATCAAATAATACACCTACTTGAAACCTGGGTTGTAGGAACTGAATCCAAAGCTTCACTGACATTTTGAGAATCAGCTGTAGGATGCAGAGCTGCTGGTTTTGGTGTTGTTGCTGATGTTGTGGGATTAGAATCTCCACTGGTCGTATGCTTTGTAAAATTATTAAATGGCAAGAGTGTAGATGACAGTGCTGTAACAGAACTAGATCTGGCAGTAGTATCTGACAGTCTGGTGATGTCTGCGTTAGTGGGATAAGGGAAGCTTTGTGCAAAGTGTGATGAAGGTCTTAAAGTAGATACACTAGTGATTGTGGTCACAGCAGTATCCCAGCTTGTTCTTGCTGTCTGCAGCGTAGTTATACGAACTCTCTTATCTGTAGTGGTGGCTGTTTCATTGTTTCTGGAAAAGACTGTATTTTCAGTTCCATGGAGGGTCTCTGCTCGCATGGTGTCATTCCCTGGGGGAGGATGATTTGTAACCTGACCAGAAAACATCACCACTGTGTGACAAGTCAAAAGGAGCCTGAAATACAGAAGCTGTGTTCTGCCCATCACAGGTTCTCTCTCCTCCTGTCCAGCTGGGGACTGAGCCTGCTGTGTGCAATACATAAACAAAGCATGACGATAAACTGCACAGCTCAGTGTGATGGTTCTGGCCTAGTTCCTACAGGTGTTTTACAGAAGGGTTGTAGAGACGGCTGGGGTTCGTTATACATACACTGTGACGCTCAGAAAAGTTAACACAAACTAACTAGAGGCGAGAATTTAAAGCATATGAAGCCCCAGTAGGGACACTCGCATTCAAAAGTAAAGTAGCTTGGGTTCATTTGATTAAGCTAATTGAAGCAAATAAAGGCATTTTTACATATGAACGAGAGCAACCACAGGAGTTTAATGTCCTTTAACTAGTGAGTTTTGCCTCTTTAGTTAGTCTGGTAATTCCTGTGTAGATATGCTCTTAGACTGAAGAAAGTGGAGGGCAGTGGGTGCTGCAGATATGTGCCTGGCCTTCTTGCCATTGTCACGTTCTCCTCAACTGCAGATGACAATCAAGCATATTATTTACATTAACTGGTTTATTTTATAAAAATATTGATCGTCCTCACAGATGCCGATTTGCCAGGACATGCTCATACGTCTCGAAGCTCTTGACATACCCATTTTTTAGCTTGGATTTCAGAACTAAAGTTTCTTCACAAACTATTTTCCCTAGGGCCAGTCTAATTTCAAATTTGCACTGAAACAATAAAGTTGTGACTTGAAAATGATTTAGTTAAATTAGTGTCAGTCTATGAGTGTATCAGCCTTTAGACACCTCTGGAAGATGTACAATTATCTGTTATGCTGCTGCTCATTCTAGTTGCGACTAAACCTGTGCTGCAATAGAAGAATTGTGATGCTTGTCAGCACCGTTCCCCGACTAGGGTAGACTGAGCGGTCACAACAAGTAATTTATTCATCAGCTGGTGCCTACTGGCCTGGGAGAAGATTACAGTTTTCTTAGTCTTGTTTGAACTTATTTGACAAATCATTTCAATGAATAATAGTGTATAGAAGGTGTATGAGAAGCTCTTCACAAGGACTCGGTACCCAGTACTGGAGCCGAGTTAATTTCAGCTGCACACCTAGGTCAAGTGGTATATTCCGTGCCTGACTGAGAGTTATATTAATTCAATCTCGGGTTTCTAGTGAAAATACTTGTATTTGTTAATCCAAAACTAGCTTTCTAAACATTTGTCACCATCTCTGCTTGTTAATTTGTTTGCTGTATTTGCAGGAAGCAGAACAGGGAGAACTAAACACAATTTAAGTAAAATCGGTTACAGATGTGAACAAATGTTAATTGGGGACTGTTTGCCAGTTCTACTGGTTACCATAGGTTCCTGTTACATTACTTAAATGCCAAGTGGTGTAATTTTTATTATTGTCGCCTACAAGCCTCTTTTAAGAATGAGAAATTGTAATATGAGCCATTGTTGCAAAATTATGAATCTGTAATTACATATAGTAATGATAATGTCAAAGTAGTCACAAAGCCAGTATTCTGGGCCTTCACCTAACTTAGTGCTATGATGCTGGTTGGCAGCCACCGTACTTAGTATCATGCTAGCATTATTGACCGTGACCCTGGGGTACTGCAGAGACATCTCAGCCAGCTCAGGTCCCCATTGTGTCCCCAGGTTTCTTTATCATTAACAGTCCTGTTCCAAGCAGCCTTTACTGTAAGCATAAAGCAGCTGAAGGTTTGCTTTTGTAAGCTCATTGCCTGTTGTGGGAGTAGCCTGTGCATTTCTGGTACTACAGAAGTTAGTCATTAGAATAAACTGGAGTTGGTACAAGAGCTGGTATGGCATTATAGATATTTTGTAGATCAGACCAACAACTTCTCTTGGTAACTAAAGGAACCCTAACCAACAAGTTAATTTGGTAATATATAATACATTCCTGAAACTTAACATTCCAGTGCAGACTAAACAAATCCAAGCACTCCCGGTTATGTTTTAACTGACTCGACACTACTGACCCAGATACTCCTGAACAGCCTTTTTAAAATCCTTTTGTTCTAAACTCCAGAGCAGAGAGCCCTAAGTACATGCAGAATATCAAGTCAGAATAAATATTCCCAAAACAACACTTCCCAGAACTCACCTAAACTGAGAAATGCAGCTATGCTCTAACCAGCAGGTAGCTGTTCTGCGCAAGGTAGCCACTACGTTACCGTGTTCCGGTTTATTCAGACTGTGGAGTATGCTCCCTGGAGGGCTGGGAAAACAGACGACTCTATGGTAACCAATGAAGTTGCACTGGAGTTTGAGATTAGTCAGAGGTAATGACTTTAGGGCTGGGCTCACCTTTCTGTGAAGTTAGCTGGGGAAGTTCCTCCCTTGGCAGCAGCTGCCATTCATCTAGTTTCACAGTGGCTTTAACAAGCAGTTTTTGCAGACCTTACAGACTATGTTAGACTTTTTAAATAAACGTACAAGGGAAAATCCCTTTAAATGTTTGCTCTGTGTGTGGTGTAGGTGTCAAAATCTCCTAAACAGCAATACTGGTTTATTGAACAGAAACATAAATGAAAGAAAAACTGCAGGTATGTACGACCACTTAGGACAAGCTGAGCTCAAACACAGTTACTACTCACTGTGACTTCTAAACACAAAAGTTCCAAAAAGATAAAATTACAGAAATGCAAGTAAATTAACAAAACAACAAAATGCACATACACAGCCGCCCTGCCACACTGGTTAGTGCTACAATCTCTAGGATCCAGGAATTGTTCCCTTCTTGTGAGCACCAATATTACACCTGATTTTTGACTGTCTGCTTTCTCAGCTAAACCAGATCACTTGGCTTTCTCTTTTTCTTTCATGTGTCCTAAGGTTTGCGCTGTGTGGAACAATATTTGTAGTGTAGAGTATTTTCCATCCCTAGACTTCCAGTTGCCTTTGAAGGAAATCTAGCAGCCAGGGATGCTGAGAGACAGTCCTGGCCCATGATACCTGTGTGGCCCTGGATTTCTAATTCTGAAGGGGCAATAAAATCTCTTTGTGACTTCCTGCTTGTCCCTGGGAAAGGGGTGTGTTCCTTCCAACACACATGCACTTGACCCAAGACAGGACAAATTCCACTAAGGCTCTCTAAGGTGTTGTGGAAGGAGAGGGGCAGATTGCAACCATCCTGAAAGTGGTGCATTGTGGCAGTGGAGCTTCCCACATTCATCCTTTCTTCCTGGCAACTCCATCTCCAAACAGATTCACTTGAACCAGGAACGGATGATGGATGCAAGCTCTAAATCCAAACTAAAATGACAGGTATGGTCAGCAATGAAGTTGGTGTAGACAGGCTGAGCCCTCAGCTAGACTGTTCTCAGTCTATTTTTACCCCAGTGTCATTTTGCTGATTTAATGTGGTTATTCCACAGTGGTACCAGTGAAAGTGATGGCAGAACCAGTCCTACACTTTCTCCTGCGAACTTGAGTGTGTAGTTCCTTTGTTATCAACTCATGTGGTAAAGCAGAGGAGCAAGATTCATGGCTCTACCAGTCAACAGTGAAAGTGCAGAGTTTGCATATGAACCAGGTATGTTCTGTAGCAGTGATAGTCAGTGCTGGGGCACCCTGGGTGTCACAGGATCTTTTCAAAGGTTCCCTGAGGTATGAGGAGATAAGCAGGTGTGAAGAGATGTAAAGGCTCAGGCTAGCCCCTCTGCAGGGAGGTAAGCACTGTAATAAATATATTAGCTTTTAAAATTGGATACTGCTCAATTCACAAACATTATGGAGCAGTGCCACAGGTCCAGTGAGAGATGCCTCGAGTCCAAAGGGTTGAGACCCACTGCCTTAGAACAATTTGACTCCTTGCCAACTGGATTTGAAAACTGTTCAAGCATAGCTGGTCCTAGGCCATCTTGGCTTGTACAGGAGCAGGGCAGCGGTTGAACTAACACTGATTTTTAGCGAGTGTCTTTAAAAAGGGGTGTCTTGAGTTTTAAAAAGTTGGTTTCCGAAAGCTTGCAAAGAACAATTTTTCCAACTATTTAGTTGGTTTAATAAAAGATATCCCATCTACTCAAAGAACTTTGTCTGCCTTGAGTCTAAAAAGGTTGAGAAGCACTGCTCTGCAGGAACAGGGAACTTTTCCATCCCCGTAATCCATGGAATAGGTTAACATGGGATACTGATCCAGAGACAGTGTGCAGAATTTACTATGCTCTCATCACGTTCTTTTGTGGTTTTTCTTTGCTCAGTGGTTCTTGTACACACTGGTCTGGGCTCCACTCTCACTCATGTCCAGGGAGCTCTGCCATCTTTAGCAGTAACTCAGCATACAGAATGAGGGACAGCACTAGAAACATACATGGTAGACACAGGCCTGACCTCTTGCCAGGCGTGCCTCCTGCAGATCACATCCAGCATATCTGCCAGCATGCTTACTCCTCACCTACAATTTCTAGTAGATGTGGAGAGCCTGATTCTGCTCTTGCGTACACTTACTTGGGTCAGACTTATTGACACGTGATCAGATTATCTTCCAGACACAAACTGCTTCCCTTAATCCCCAAGTGATTCCTTCTCAGAAATAAAAACCCTTTGTAATCTGCTACCTACCACTGCACATGCGAAGGATCCACGATCTGGGGAATTCTTTCATTCCTTATCTTGTAATAGACCATTTCTGGCCAGAGGACTCCTGTGAACAATGTCCTGGTGTATGGATTAGACTTGATGACATTTCCGTTCAGTTATTCCAGTTGTGTGAAATGCTCTGTTCTGTATAAACCACAAAAATGAAGAGGTTTATGTTGTATCTTGAGTATATAAATCAAGATCATGGGTGTGTGCTCTACAACGAGACATCCTTATTGTTTAAATCCCTGGCTGGTAAGGAAATGTGGTTACTAATCCTGGGAGCAGAGGAGCAGAGCTGTGAACTGCAAACCTTTGATTATGATAGATTAGAGCTCGATGGAAATATTTCAAGGGATAACACTGAGCACGTATGAAGAGCACGTGGGCTTTAAACATTCATCAGCCACAAACTGTTTAAATACAAAACCTGATGGGAAACACAGAGGCTGCCCCTCTGCTAACAACAGCTAGGATTTTTTCCTCTTTTGTCACTGGAGATCTGTGTTGGGATGGTACTGACAATGTTTCCCTCCACCAAATTCTCCATCATTTGGGAATCTGCCTGCCTTGGAGACTTCTTCGTTGCTGTATCCGGAGTCCTAACATGCAGCAGAAGCAACATATGTATTCCCCCTTGCTTGTGACTAGCCTGCCCAGTTTCCCGTCTTGTCTTGTTACACTAGATTTCCTGCTTCCTCCTTCCTTCGTGATCTCTCTCTTGACATTATGGTATTGGTCTCTGACTTTGAGCCTTTTCAGATAATTCTGTCCATCTAATCCCCCAGCATCCATTTAATTTATCTGCCCACCAAGCTTTTAGGCAAGTCAGAATCTGGAGCCACGCCATTTAGGATTACTGGGTTCTTTGCACAGGGATTACCTGCAAAGTTTCCTGCATATCGCTGGCATCACGGCTTTTACTTCATGAAAGTGTAAATGATTGATGTCAGAGAACAGGTTGCTTTGGTTAGCAGAAAGGTTAGAGATACATAATTCACACTCTGACTGACTGACACAGAGCACTGCTAAGACCCTGAGGGCTGCTCTGGCACATTGAGAAGTATGACAGCAGGGTGCAGGTCAACAGTGGGTCAGCTGGAGAAATGGATCCAAAGGAGTCAGAGACTGGGCTTTACTGGACTATCCTGGGAAGCATTTGAATAAGATACCTTGTGCATTCATAAGAGACCCTGTGTGATGGCAGCAGCATGAACTGGAGTCAGGGATGCAGCTTGGGGGTCCTTGCTGCTACTGGAGTAACCCAGGTTAGCGAGGGAGCTGGGGTGTCTCGACTGCACTCTGCGTCATGCTGTGTCGACACACAAGACAGGGAGTTCCAACAGACAAATGCATTACGGTGTCGTCAGACCCCAGGATGGACTGTGCCTCCCTGCTTGGCACATACTGTGCTGAACTCTGCAGCGGCTCCAAATAGCACTGACAGCTGTCCGCAAGGGCAGATGGGATCATTTATCATCCTGTCTGACTTCCTGTATTGCACAAGCCAGGGAATTTCATCACAAAGTTGCTTCTCTATGAACCTCATCACTCAGGTGTACCTGAAGGTATCTAGTTTTGAAATGAAGACACCAAAAGATAGAGAATCATCACTTCCTTTGACAGTCTGGCCAGTGGCTAATCGCTTCTGCTTAGACAAAAGATAAATAAGTCATGTTTTTGTTTGATCTGTTTTTTCTGGTTCAGTTTCCAGCTCTTAGCTCGTGATAAACCTCTTCCATTAGAATAAAAGAGACCTCATAACTGGATTTTTCGCCCCATGAAGGTAATTTTACACCATATTTGAGCCACCTCTTAATGTCATTTTTGATAAGCTAAACAGATTGTGCTCTTCAACATTCTCACTGTGAAAGCCAGTCTATAGCTGGGATCATCTCCATTCTCCCCATTTTTTCTCTCTCTCGTTGTATACTCTCTACTCCCTCAATATCCATTTGACAATCCCGGCACCACCCTGGGTGCAGCAGTCCAGCATGGGTTTCACAGACACTGCACACAGACGATAAGCCCCCTCCTCATTCCTACTCCTTCCCCCCTGCTTATGCCTCCATGGTTCACATTTGCTTTGTTGATCCAGCACCACTTTGGGAACTTATATCAAATAGTTTTTTATTTGTAGCCAGTTGAGCTCATGCTGGTGTTTATCAGCCTAAAAAGCTCTCTCTCTTCAAGAACATACTTGTAAAGAGTGACCATATCCCCTTTCAGTCTATGCTTTGCTAAACCAATCAAACTAGGCACATTTAAACTTCTTTTGTAAGAAAACGTCTCTATTCCCTTGACCATCTTCATGGCCATCTTTGAGCTTGTTCCAGTTTAAGTCAATCTTTTTTGAACACTGGTGACCAGAACTGGATAAAGTGTTATAAATGAGGTCTCACCAGTGTCCTGTATTCAGTATTAGTGCCTCCCAGTGTCTACTGCCTTGAGCTCTCCCTTCTATTCTTTCTGGAGCTCAGTACAACACACAGTCTCCTTATCCATATCAGATTTCCTTAATCCAGAAAATTATTTCCTGAAACAAGTTTTAAGCACCCATATTCTCATATGTAGAATATATTTGTGCATGTAGGCCAGGAAAGAGTTAAATAACATAGTTACAGCAGCGAAGTATCAGTGTTTTCCTTTTGTTGCTGAGGCAGCATGGACAGATGTTACTGAGAGTACAATTAATACTGTACTCATGTCCTTAAGCCAGATACAGCCATACCTAATTTCTGAGAGGTTATATAAACCAGCCCAGATATAGCGAATGGGAAAGTAAAGCATTTAGTGACTCTTGGGTGGGGGGAAGGAAAATCATTTCTTCCTGGTAGAATAGCAACCTTGTGGCACTCACCTGGGACAGAACCTGTGCAGCCCCCAGGTGCCGCGGTGACTACCACAGGGAGGCACCACTCAGAGGCAGCCAAAGCCCTGCTCCCTGGTCAAAGCACTGATGTTTTTCCTAGGCCAGGTTTACCAGGACTCTGTACATTTCTCAGGTCTGCGTACACAGTTTGTACCTGGCTGATGAATGCTAATAGCAGCTGTTGGCTATGGAAGCATGTGCAGAAGGATGTGGCAGCGGGGCCGTGAAAAGGGAATGGGGAAGAAAGGCAGACTGGCAGCTGCTAAAGCAGGGGAGAGCAACGGCTACACTCGGGATGATGATATGTGCATCTCGCTGAGGGCAAGACGTACGCACCCGCACAACCACCACCTTAGTCACCTGAACTGAACTTAGGCACTTTTCCCCACTTCTAGATGCTCCAGATGTGCTGGCTTCTAACTGTGGTACGGAGCTATTTTCTGCAGGCTCAGCTTCTGCCAGATGTTGTCTAACTTTGAGCCACTTGCTAACTTCGGCCTGTTGCAAAAAAAGTTCAAAGTCCAAACCATTTATCTGGGCACAGGCATGAGCAGACAGGAGCTCCTCCCCAGGTCACACAGCAAGTGACTGAGGCAACTGCTGTGGTTTACCAACTGTTTGCACGTTGTTTGGTCTTGGGCTGTGTGACTGCATCACTTGGCAGCACCTGCCTGGTCTCTGGAAACACAGTGATTGGAAGAAGCCAGAATCAAGCCCCTTTCCCAAAATAAAGTCTGTAATTCCTGTAGCAAGTTCTCAGCACTCAGGCTACCTCTGTTTGTGTTAGCTTCTTTGTAATTACTTCATTGTCCTGCAAAATGATCAATGTAACCTTTTTAAAAGCAGCATTTGGTTTACAAGTCTTAGAGGAGAGTGTTAAATTAATTAGATTTCCAGCTCAGTTCCAGCTGCTGATATTTCAGACATGTTTGTTCCTGTCATATTTATGTTGTGGTTCAGCATTAATTTTCAATAGATAGATAGTTTTGAGATAAGCAAGCAGCAGTTCAAGTGCAATTATATAAACAATAAGATCAGAATGGAATTAGCATGCAGAGTATAAAGCTCAGCGATCGTGTGTGCCCAGTCATTGCCTCCCTGGCTGAAGGAAGAACCTGGTTCCTGTATTGCAGAAGATTTCAGCTGCAAAGGAGTTGGTCTTTCCAGGATCAGTGTCACTGCAGCTGTCAGGTGCTGTAACCTGGACAATGGAGTAGCTTTTCTGGGGGAAATCAGGAACTGAAAGAGAATTTAGAGAGTGATTCCATATGATTGCAGACCCTGTCAGCTCAAATGTGTAGCTTTAGTGCTTGTTAGGTGCAGCCAGGGACTAATCGGGGCCTCATTCTGAGGACTGCTCAGCATACGCGGGAAGGAGTCTGGAGAGCTGACAGATGAAGTGGGGATTCATCACTCTGTTTTGCCGATATTCTGTATTGCATTGTCATCTGGCAGAAGCTGTCATTTATTTCCTGGCAGCATGCCCACCTCCAAGCAAGGGGCTTCTACCTAGACACAGCTGGAGTGTGATAAACATGATGTTGCCTTTGATCTGTAAAAACGTGCTTTAAAACCAGTTGGGTTACTTCAACTTTTATGTTGAAGTCTGGAGTTTCAGGTGCATCACGTCTGGATCCTTGAGCAGGGAGGTGTGGGCAAATCCTGTATTTTGTTGCATCTCCCTGTCAGGATCCATTAAAGGAAAGTTCTGTGTAATGCAGTTCAGCAGCGAGAAGTGAACGTGAGGTTTGTCTTCCAGGCCCATCAAGTTGTCTCGGCTGGCACCCAGCCTCTGACAGTGGCTATTTCCATTGCAAGTTAGGGACTAAGGGTGGAAGCGCTTTGTCAGGCTCCCATTAGAGGCTGTTTGAATTTTCACATCCCTTGTGTGAATAATATAACTGTGCCCCAGTACATTCTAAAAACAGGCCAGGGGGCCTAATCTAATGCTTTCCCTTTGACCATTTTTTCATCCAGCATGCATCCCATCATCCTGATGATTCTTTTTGGCCTTACTGTTGAGCAGACAACATCCCTTTGTGCTCCCACGGAGTACATCATCCACGTGGAGAAAAGAGAGTGCGCCTACTGCCTGGCCATCAACACCACCGTCTGTGCTGGATACTGCATGACCCGGGTACGGGGAGTTCTGTTCTAACCAGGGGCCCCTGCAGTGCCCATGGCTGCAGTCTGACTACTTACCCTCACTTGTTGCTTCTGCTAGAAAATTGGTGGGACAAACACTCTCCTAACAGTAGTTATACTACGTAGGAAAAGTCATGTTCATGGCAGGCTTATCAAGTCCATTTACGCACAGAGGCACTTACCACCTTCCTGGCATGCAAGGACTTGGCTACTGCACTCTTTGAAGCCTCCTCATTAGTGAGGAGGGGCATCAAGATGGAATGGGTGAAAGACAAAGCTTTTTTTTAATGACCAATTGACTCGAATAACTTCTGCACCAGGAGGCTCTAGGAGGTAAGGGAGGCCAGTCACACAGCTGCTGAAGGACAGGCCTGAGCAGGATGCCTGTGGCAGGGTTGGGAGGCCTGGCTGCATTCTAAACATGATGTGAGGCTTTGAGACACTGGGCTGCTTGGGTACCCATCAGTGCATCAGAATGTCCCTCCTTTCTTTGCAGGACAGCAATGGAAAGAAGCTGCTCCTCCAAAGTGCCTTATCCCAGAATGTGTGCATGTACAAGGACCTGGTGTACCAGACAGTGCGGATCCCAGGCTGTTCCAGTCACACGGTCCCCTTTTACTCCTACCCGGTGGCAGTGAGCTGCAAGTGTGGGAAGTGCAACACCGACTACAGTGACTGTGTTCAGGAAGCCATCAAAGCAAACTACTGCACCAAACCACAGAAGCCCTCTAACATGTAAGTGTCTAACTTCACGAGGCAGCAGTGTATACTGTGCCGCACAGCTAATTACTGGCTGCCTGCCTGCCTGCCTGTAAAAAGAACATGAATAAAACTGTTGTAGGTCTGCAAATCAGTCTGCATAACTTGTTAATCCAAAAGTAATTCAGCAAAGTGACAGCAGCATTTGGTTGTACTGCCAGAAGCAGAGGGAGGCCAGCAGAGAAGCTGTTGGTGGAACTGCAGGCGGGGTGACTGGAGTAGAAGACATAAGGCCTCAGGATCTGTTAGCATCACCTCCAGGTTGGGATCTGGTCCTTACCCATGGCACTTTCTAGACTGGATCACTGTAACACATCTCTGCTTAGTAATGCCCCTGCTCTTGACTCTGAAGTGCTGACATCCCTTCCCAATCTTCTGTGTGACTTAAGAACTGTCCCTATGAGAGAGCTGTGGTTTCTTTTCAGGGCCTCCCCACAATATACACTGGAGGGTGAAGAACGTGTGGGGAAGGTGGGCTGAGCCTTCTGCTTAGGGTGTGTTTGTAAATGTCAAGTACCAGGTAAAATGAGGCTCCGATGTACAAGGGAACATTTGATGGCCTTTCAATAAATGCAAAAAAGAAAGAAAAAAAGAAAAACGTGCCCCTGGCACTCAGTAGCACAGACTTCGCATGAGCATCTTCACTGCAATTTTGCACACCTCTGCCCTTCACTTCAGGACTACACCCTCTCCACATGCAGTGATCATATGTGCCTTCTGTAAGGGCATGTCTTCACTGCAGGGTGAACTGCACATGGGTTTCACACATGGATGCACTTAGGCTGGGTTGGACCAGTTCAATTACCAGGCTTGTACCCGTGCTGTGCACAGCTATGCACCGTGTTAGGAGGTCCAGGAACAGTCCTTGATTCACAGTGATGTGCCTACCACTGAGCTGAGCAGCACAGCCCAAGTGGGTGACTTACACTTGGGCTGCTAACAGGTACTTGGACTCCAATCCGCACCCTCCCTTGCGGGAGTCAGCACAGGGTGAGAGGAGTGTGCTTGTGTGCGCAGGAGAGGGGTAGTGGCAGCACTCCCTCAAGAGCTGGGTTAGAGCTGCTGCAGAGATATGGCCCTAGTCCTGGGGTGGCATGAGTGAAGAGAGGGGGAGCCAGAGCGAGCAGGAAAGAATTTGCTTCCCCTGCTGAATTTTGGCCTTGCTGACAGCTGCAGTTGTGCAGTGACAGCAGCAGGTGGCTCAGTGACGAGCTACAAATAAAACAGACCAAGTGCTGAGTGATGGGGCAAGTTCCCATCAGGTAGTTCAGCCGATTTCAAACCAAGGCAAAGGTACTCAAAACCCCACAGAATGCAGCAATGGGATCAACTCCCAGCACTTTGTATTTCTTTATTTTTCTCTGGAATGCCGAGTCAGAAAAGGCCGATTCAGTCTAAACCAGTCCCAACCAACCAACCTGACCCCTTTGTTTCAGGAGAGCCCAGCAGGCAAAAGCATACACGTAGGGCCCACTGGTAGAAAAGGATCACAGCTTTTATTGTAATGCTGGTGTGGCATGTACGGGGCAAAGACAGCTTTCACAAAGCTGCTATTGAAGTTACAAAGGGACTTGAGCTTTCAGAGCTTACGCAGTTAAACTGCATGTTACGCCCACTAGATCTGTGGATGAAGCCACACCAGTTCATTTTTCTGCAAATGGCAGGAAACACTGGGCACATCCCCAGAGCGACGTGACAAGGAACTGAAAGAACGTTTCTGACAAGGTTAAAACCTCCAGGACCAATTCTGCCCTCAAACACGCATGCAACTCCCAGTGAATTCAACGCGAGTTGGTACCATAGCCTTGTCCGAGGGAAGGACTGCCCCCCTAAGAGCTGAAATATGTAAGTGTGCAATGGACTGCTTATGAGCTGAACCCCCTCCCCCTCCACATCTTCTTGGTGACCAGATGGTGCTGAGGCTTACCAGTTCTCCCAGCTGAATGGCACCCCCCATACCTGTGCTTGTTGTACCTCTGTTGCCTAAAATTGCTTAATTTTAGCAAACACCACAATACCCACATTCCCCTTAGAGTAGTAAACTGTGATTTATAAAAGGTCAAATAATTGTGTTCCCAGTTAACCATGGTAAGTGAATTACAAAACTATAAGAGTTACCACCAGTAAGAACAGCAGAGGGAGGTTCTTCCACTTCTCCCAGATGAATAATTCCAACCTCATTACCCACCACAGCTGAAGAACATGGAAACTGAGTACTCTGGCCTGGCTAGCTGGCCACGAAGTTGTGCCAATACAAAAAGACTTGGCCCCAAATACAGTGGCTCAGATCCCATCCTGCCCGTTAGACATCTGAGCCTGCCTAGGTGCTGACCAGCAATTATGCGCTTTGCTGCAGGGGAGCAAACTTATTTGACCTACAGAAGTGCACTGCTCCGAGCAGCCCAACAGGCAACAGACTGCATCTCCAGAGGTTGAGCCTCTCTCACCTGCAGAGGCACATGGTTCTCCTTTGCTGTGGTTAGAGAGCTGTGTGCATGTCCAGAGCATGCAGGGAGCTGCCTTCAGGCAGCCACCAGGAAATGAGGCACAGGGGTGGTCTGAATGCAAGACTGCATCTTTAGACAACTGCATCTTGGGATGCTCTTCTGCTGTGGAGGGGGTACAGTTTATGATATTTTGTGAGGAGGAGCCAGAACCTAAGGCTTCTCTGCTGCTGGCCATCCTTCTGGCCCACACTTTTTGCCTGTTCAGAAGCTCAGCTCCAACAGGAAGGTGGTAGAGGTGTGGTCTTTAGCCCTGCATTGCTACTGTGGTCACGGCCCTGCCCTGAGAAGCAGTTGTAGATTCAAAGAAGGAGGTAGCTAGACCCTGCGGCCCATGTCTGAGCAAGTGCTCTAAGCGCTAGCTTACAGAGCAAGAGTGCACTTTTCAGATTTATGAATATGTATTAACAAATGGATACAACAGTAGTTTTCCATGGGCTTAAATCAGAGTGGACTAGGATCCCACATAATGACCTAAATCCCTGAAAGCTACGTGAGTGCTGCTTAGACTCTAAGGTGTAGAGGTGATGGACCACTGCTAGAAATAGCTTTTGTGTTTCCTTCACAAACATGTTACAGCTTCAGGATTGTGTCATAACTTCCACATAACAGTCTTTCATTTGTCCCATTCCAATATATTCAACTCCACCACTACTCACACTACCAGAAACCCTTCCCCTAACGCCCGGTCACGCCCCGCTCTGAAAAGGATGTGAACTCAGAAAAGCAGCCGTGATCATATTGCATGTAGAGATTTACACCTCTCAAATGCTAACAACACAGCAGCCAGTGTACCACAGCATCTGATGTCCCAACAACAGCTGTGCAAAGGTACAAAAGCATCATGGGAAGTATGAGGAGGACATAACAGCATCACCAAGATTAGGAGCAGTACTAGTGAGGCTGGGAACATGGCCTCAGCCTTCCATTAGCACTGGTTGATGTTAATCGTTCCAGTAAGTCCCACGCTCCAGGTGACACACCATCCATCTGGGCTGCCGTTTGGTTCTTGGTTCCTTTTTGGGCTGACGACTCCTGCAGGTTCAGTGCCAAGATGTCCACAGAATGGAGAAGAGACTAGGTTGAAAATCTGCTGTATCGGGAAAGGTCCAACAGAAACTCCCCAACTCCAATGAAGTAAATGACTTGAGCTATGCCAAACAGAGGAGCAATGACCAATGCTCTGCAGCCTGCCCCTTTCAGAAAGGCAGATGGACCCTCCTTCAGCCAAATCCTCCTGAGAATGGAGCACAACACAAAAAAA